TTAAGTCAGCATATGTATCATTTTGGTCTGTAATTTTAAGGACATTTTCATTTCAGCATTTTGGTTTGAGTCAGCATATGTATCATTTTGGTCTGTAATTTTAAGGAAATTTTCAATATTAGAATGGATCTACCCGACTCAAATCTGCCCTTTTCTTATATTGTTTATTACTTATTCTTATTTTATTCAAATTAGAAAAATGAAGATCATATCTGATAAAAAAGATTCAGACCATATAAAAAAGATTCAGAACACATCAGTCTAAACATGATTTATTGCTCTTATTCTTATTAGGGGAAATTTGATTTTGCAGTTTGCACCTCATTCCACTTCTAATTCCTTTGACTTTGCACCCCATTTAAAAAAAATTCTTCACAAAATGGTATGTGTCGGGGTGCGAAGTCAAAATTTTTTAAAATGGGGTGCAAAGTTCAATATCACCTAAAAAGTGGGGTGCAAAGTCAAATTAGCCCTCCTATATTATTGTTGTTGTTATCCTCATCATCAATATTATCATCAACATTATTGTTGTTGGTATTATTATTATTACTACAGAGTATTATTGTTGTTGTTGTTAACAATATTATTATCAACATTATTATAAGTGTTGTTGATTATTATTAGTTTTTTTGTAATTATTATTTGCATGTTATTATAAATATAAAAGCATAAGTTCTTGCTATTAACATTTAAAAAATAATAATGTTATTACACTATTATTATTAATATGTTATTATTGTAGGTTGTTTCAATATTTATTAATATGAATATTGTTCTTATTATTGTCATTATTTGTATGTAATTACTAGTTAATAAAACATCAGTTATTACTATGGTTATTATCGATGATAATATTGTTATTACACTATATTTATTATTAATTTATTGTTACTGTTAGTAATATATCTATGTTACTATTATTATACAAATATAGGTTGTTATTATAATTCAATAACTACAGTAATATGATGTATTATAATGGTATTGATAATCTATATTTATTTATTTATATATAAAAACGCAATAGCCAAAAGTCATTTGGGCGGGAAGTTTAGCACTCGCTGGCCTAATATGTAAACTAGAATTTGTCTCTTGAATATTCTAGAACTACTTTAGCAATTCCGAAGCATCTGTGGGTAATTAAATGGTGCATTGGATGGTGTTTTTAATCAATGTCAGCAAATACAGATTAATAATAATGTTCTCAATAATGATTGTAGAGATAAATTAATTAATGCAAAGTGAAGTCCTTTCAGTTCCCCTGCGGATAGATCATTTTTAATTTTCAAGTATGGTTTTAAAATTTTGATTCAATATTTAAGAGCTAAAGAATCTATAAGTAACGGATACAGTCATACAACCAGCCATTCACAAAATCACGACTGCACAACAAAGAACTTTTCATTAGTAGAGTCGCTAGCCAAAGCAAATGAATGTCTATATTATGCAATATGCACTACACATATCTGATTTATAATTCTATGAAAAAGGTTAGATTTATATATGTACATTTCTTTTATGAAAATTTTGATATCTATTAATATAACATTTGAGGATGAATTTATTGTTTTGAATTCTAGATGGAAATTTACACATAGCTATTGTTTACACCTGGAAAGAAGTTAATACCATGTACTTATATAGGTATCATTTTATTGTTTTGGAAAGTAACTGAATATTTGGACGCTTGATCTTTGTTTGAGAAAGATGCATGTTATAAGAATATTTTAGGGATAAGGCTCAAATTGGACAATATAGTTTCATCATCTCATATTGGACACTAAGGTTTCAAATGGACCAAATTAGACACTATGGTTTCATATGTATCTCATATTGTACACTAAAGTTTCACAATTCAATATAAATGAGTGTTCAATTTGATCTTTATCCAATATAAGTGAGTGTCCCAAAACTATGAATTATGAAACTTTAGTGTCCAATATGAGATACATATGAAACCATTGTGTCTAATTTGGTCCATTTGAAAATTTAGTGTCCAATATGGGATTCTGATGAAACCATATTGTCCAATTTGAGTCTTATCACGATTTTTGTACAGTAGTTACATACGGATTATATGTTCATTTTAAAATATTTATTATGTTTCAATTTGTAATTCATTTTAAAATAGAAAGATCAATAAATTGAAATTTCACCCCACTCATAACTTGAATTGGTAGCCAATCCCCTTTGAGAAAAAAAATTTACGCATTTTCCTCAATTTCTTTTGTAAATTCTGAGCAGTATAAATTAAATTTCAAGGAAGTAATTTACGCTTTTATTGCAGATTCTTCATTTAATTTGAAGTGGAAGTAGGAAGGTGGTCTCATCGTATGAATATAAGAAATGAGATAACATGTTGATAAACTTTAACAAACACACATAAAGTATGTGTGATTTTATGTATTGACACAGTACAAATGACTATCTATGTACCAATAAAATACTCTTCTGAGTTCATATGAAGGATACCTTAAGAAAGCCCGCACCAAATATGCATATTTTTGTTAACATATACTGCGTATTTATATTAATCCTTCTAAGTTAATTTTGTAAAGCAATACATGCAAAAGTTCTAAACAATACCAAGTAAATGATGCTTATATGGCTACAAGTAGAGCAAATCAGCAAATACTTAATTAAGTGGAAAGCCATTCATTCTTTTCTTGCTTTTTTCTGAAGAGCATCACTCTTCACAAAATCAGAAAGTGATTTCCACACATCTCTGATCCATTAAAAACAAACATGTATGAGATGTGGTGAACAGTGTTCTAAATAGCCGTAGCGGCAGTGGTAGCGGCAGCGGTCATCTCGATAGCGGTCTGTAGTCGCCTGAAGCCTGTAGTGATGGCAACAGCGTGAAATATTTTCAAGTGCGCAAACTATATATTTAATGGGTGCTAAAGTTAATAGAAACAAATATTTGTTTGAACACTTAGAACATTAACAACTAATATAACAACCAATAAGAATATGACACTTAATAATAGCAACACTTATTAATCAACACTTAATAACAATAAGGAGTAACTTGCATGTACTCATACTTTTATCATAGCTTGGTCTCATGCTTCATAATAATAGCAAGTACGACGTAGCCAACTTTTAAGAAGACGTTTAAATGTACTACTCCGGTACGTCTCAAATAATTTTGCCATTTCATAAAATTTTGATCATGAAAGTTAACAATTTTTTTGCCAAATAATTTAATAGGAGTTATAAATTTTATACTTTTATAAAAGTACTTTTAAAAAAGAACAATTTTATTTCATTTGTATATTATAAATAATTTTCAATAAAAAGATATACTCCTCTGTTCCGAAAATTTTAAGTACTTATGTGAAAAAATTGTTGTCCTTTCACAATCAAATTTTAAGAAGTGGACCATGCATTGCAACTTGCATAATCCATAATAATACCACTTCCGTTCCAAATTGTTTTGTAAGTCAACATTTTTTTGTCAACTGATATTAAAGTTAAATCATTCTTATTAATAATTAATGAGATATTACCCAAAATGAGACTAAAAAAGTTTGAAAATTCCAACATAGGACTTCCATGTTTTTATTCCCAAAATAGGACTAATTACTGTCATTTTTTGGCAGTACCAGACTTCAAACATGGCAGTATTTTCCAAATTTGACAGTAATTAGTCCTATTTTGGGAATAAAAACATGACAGTCCTATTTTGAAATTTTCGAACTTTTTTAGTCCCATTTCGGGAACTTTCCCATAATTAATTCGGTTTTAATAATTAAAATTTAGATATTTATATATTAATATTTGCTACCATAATGTATGTGGATACATGTACATTTAATTTAGAGTTTCACTCCATAATGCATCACCATTAATGTATTTTTTCACATCATACACACAACATGTACACATTTACACATCAACTAGTTCGTGATGTACTGCCGGTAGCGGCCTGTAGCGGGCGGCATAGCGGGATTTTCGGTTATTTGAAAATCACATCCTGATAGCGGCCCGTAGAGGTAACGGTACACATCGCGACCGCTATATAGCGGCAGCTGTTTAAAACACTAAATGGGGAGTATGCTTTGTGAAAGAAGGAACATTTATTTATGATTAAAAGTGCACCATGGAAAAACCATATATGGAGTATGTGTGTACGCATATGGAATTGAATCATGTGAATATGTGATCATTGAATTTCTAGAAGAGAAAAGAGTAAAATTTGTCAACAAAATATCACTTCTCATTATGTTGGGTATTTTAATCAGTTTATTTATTTGTGTCCTGTAATTAAATTTAGGAAAAATTGATAGTAATAATCCCAACTATTGGCGGTCTGCTCATAATAATCCCAACTATCGATTATTTCAGAATAATCCCAACTTTAGGGACCTTCCGCCAATAGTGGTCCCTATAAATAAATTTATGTAGTTTCTAAAGTGGATGAGGTGTGATATAACAAGTAATCCCTATAAATAATCTCAACTTTTAATTTTTACACTTAATTTCTATTTAAAATTCACTTTTTATAGGAGGTAATATCTGGCCATGGACCATTATTGGCGGACGATACATAAAGTTGGGATTATACAAAAATAATCAATAGTTGGGATTATTATCAGCGGACCGGCAATAGTTGGGATTATTATTTTCAATTTTTCCTTAAATTTATTGCTTTGAACTATCTATTCTTTAATTATGATAAAAAAACGATCTATTCTTTAATTATCTTTTAATTAAATTTATTGCTTTGAACTATCTATTCTTTTATACACTGTTCTTTAATTATCTTTTAATTAAATTTATTGTTTTGAACTATCTATTCTTTAAATTTACTACTATTTTCATTTTAAGAAGGATACAACTACAAAATAAGATCATGAGTTGAAATGAATTTAGATTTTTTTTATTCCAGTGCATCGCATGGGTACTATACTAGTCCTTAAAATACCGGAGTAGTTTTAAGGTATCACACACTTCTCTCATATACAAAGCAGTTCAAAAAATGCTTCTGCTGTGTGATTTCATCTCTGACCCCGTTCCCGAAAGCGTTCTCGTAAAGAAAAGTCCATTAAACAAGAAAAATGGATTGGAAATTTATATAAAAATGTAAACAGATTCCAGAGGTGCATTGAGACAATTAGGTAAGAAAAAGTCGCCATACAGAAGGGATCTGATCTATACAACTTAAAAAGACAAGCCTCGTAAATTGTAATCTCAAGCCACTATCAGGATTTCATCTTTTCCCAAAAAAAAAAAAACAGACAACAAATCCCAGCCGGCAGCTATTGCTTTGTTTGTGGTGCTACTACTAGCAACAATTCAATATTCAGCTGGAATGATTCTCCTGGCTGCATCAAGAGTGGAAATTTCAGCAACTTTGGCATAGAGTAGAGATGTTAATTGATGAAAGATGTTATGTTAGAGCAGGCTTTTGAAGTTAATGGCACATGAAGATTCATTCTCTATATTACCTCTGTCCCATAAACAGACTATTATTACTTAAGTTTTTTCTTTCCCCAAAAGAGTCTAGTTTGATAAAATGAAGATAAGTTTTCAAGAAATCTGCTGAAAATAGAGTAACGACCACCTTCAAAACAATTCATCTAGGTAAATCATCAAATGAATTTCAAAAATATGTGTCATTTATGATTTATCACAGTTACACGTGTGCCAAAATATAAAGTTAGGCACTGGTCAAACAAGATACTGGTCAATCAAGCATTCAATACCATCTAAAGGAACCATGTAACATGCAATGAAAAGCTCTATTTCTTGACCGAATGCCCAAAGTAACTTTTCATGTTGATAACAAATCTTCTGACAACATATGCAGCAATGGATTTCAATTTTCAAATTCTTACCGGAATCTCATTCATGCCTTTTGGACCATATCCTTCCTCAGGAGGAACTATCACAGTCCTCTGCACATTAATAAACAAGATCGCAAAGAATAAGAGATAAAAGGAACTTCAATTGATAAGGACCATTTTTTACAATAAGAAGAAACATATCATTATTCATAACACATCCAACAAAAAATGTTCCATCATGTTAACTCAATATCAATTCCGCAGTAGGACATGACTGTAGCAAATATCTCAGCTCTTAACTCTTTGGAAGTTCATGATATTATCATTGAAATTTAAGCAAATATCAATTCCACAGTAGGACATGATATTGTCAATGCATTTGAATTTGGAAGTTCATCTCACTATTCCTTCTTTAGAAGGTACTGTGAGATGACATTCGATGTAAAAAATTGTCACTGTTTTTGTGTGTGAATATTGTGTTACCTAACTTCCGGCAAAACTGACATTATAAATTTCACATCACCACCCAATACAGTTGGGACTTGGGATTAAGGTGCTGATGATGATTAAGATGATGAAACATATCATAACACCTTCCCTCCAACTTTCATTCCTTCAGTTAGTTTGTACATTGCTTTAGGAGGTTTTGGAGCAGCTTGAGCAGAAAATAAACCATTTGGATTGTCAACAAAGTCACGCTTCCGCTCTTTCCCTGGTGGTGCTCCAACTTGGAACTCATATGGCTGGTGTATAATGAAAGCTTGTATCAGCAACTTGTCCACAGATTTGTTTAGAGAAGTACAATGTACATGCTAATAGACATGTTTGGAATCTCATGCATTCTAAAAGTACTAAAACTTCATATTAAAATGTCATTGGAACTGCATTGATTATCATTAGATTAATATAAAATGTCATTAGATTAATATAAAATGTGGGAAAAATTATGTGTATTCCCATGAAAATAATCACCATTTATGATATTTCCCATGCATGAAGGGTTTTTCATAGGGATGGGCCGGATGGCGCTACATGCTGGGACATGAACGACACCTGGCATAAACTTTCATACTGCATTTCGATTTTCAAGGGAATGAGAATGAAGTTTGTATATTGATTGATACGTATGCAATATAGTGTACCAAGCATTTTGCTCACAGGGGATGAGCCATCATTGTTCAAAAGTAAACACCCAAAAATTTGAAAAAAACTAAGTATATATGGACAAATTTAGTGTAATTATTTATTGTTCTTTAAATTCTTGATTGTGAAAAAAATTGAACACCCAACATTGAAATCCAAAATCCGCCACTGTTTGCTTATACCAGATTGTGACAACAGTGACAACTAACTACCTGTGCAATAATTCGATTCCCAGCCAATAACTTTGACTCTCGGCTTGAAACTGCAGTTATTCCACGATATACACAGTCAAAATGAACCTACAAGGATAGCATGAAGGAACATATCACGAGCCTATGATACTAAGTGGAAGTCAATAAAACGTTTAGAACAAAATAATTTCCCCCAAGAAAAGAAAAAAATAGTTAGATCATACCTGCACTTTTGCACCATTTTTAGCCACAGGTCCAGTTCCTTCGATGAGATCATAATACTTCAGCCCATCAACTGCTACAAAAAAGGTTACTTTAAAACAAGAACAGTTTTCAATAGAATTGAGCTAAGATGATCTCGTACATCGGTACATTAATAATTAAAACATTAAGTGCGCCCTCACGTCCAACAAACTGATTTAGACATGTTAAATGGTACTACACTACTATCTCCGTCCTAGCCTAAGCTTCTCATTGAAAATGACACGTTTATCTAGACAATAATTAAATAAGGTAATTCGTGTATATTTTCAGAAATAATTTTAATTGGTATACACCATAATGAGGTCATTGATGATAATTGTGATGTTATATGTTTATTTTTTTTATATTTAATGATTAATTTGTAATTTAAGAGTGCTAATTATTTCCTAAAATTGAAATGAAACTTTGGTTGGGACGTTCAAAGAAGGTAAGTGAGAAGTTTAAGCTGGGACGGAGGGGGTAAGTCCTGGTAACTGTGAAGTATGAACTCATATTTTATCCGGGCCTATTCAGTAGTCCAAATTTAGTGGCTTTAGAAATGCCACTTCAGCGTGAACATATGGAACAAGAACCAAGCTCGAAAATAAGGCTTGAGTACTCGCATGGATCTCAAGCACCAGCTTGGGCTTATAGAATTTCTCTGTAAAATCGAGCTGATTACATTCAAGGGATTATAAATTCTTTTATGAGATGATACAAGTAGAACGTCAGTACTCAATAGGAGGATAACTGATAACACCATTCTGCCTAGTAAACGGCAAATCAAATTGGCTGTTATTAGAACTACAATGAGGCGCCCAATAGCAAATTGATCCAAATTCAATAGCTCTTCGACGGGAAATCGGGAAATGGGAAACAACTTAATCGTCATCTAATAAAACAGGTTATACAAGACAAATTAAAGGCAAAATAAATGCAAGATGGACTAACAGCTGGTCTGGTAGTCCTCAAGAGGAATCATCTTCCTGTTTCGCCTCTCTCTGGCGGGCGAAGGTTGCGGTATCATCAAACTGAGGCTTAGAGGCAGGACTGAGATGAGAATCGCAGACCTTCTTGATACATGCTGGACTGCCATTTTAGACGGGCGATATGCACAGAGAGGAGCTTTGCTGATTGCGCATCTTCCAGTGATGTGTGTTGCAGCCATGAGGGTTGGTGGTCTGGAGATGTGTTCATGAGTATATCCAGTAATCATCAGATCAATTAAATGGTGACGCTCCGATGGATATGAACTGCTGCATCTGAATTTTCTGGTAGGAATACCAAGAAAAATTAATTGGTTAATTATTTCAGAATAAATTGATATTTCAATAATACATACTTCTTCCGTTCTTTAATTCTTGCAACAGTTTGACTTTCACGTTTCCAACGCACAACTTTGACCGTAATTATATTTAATTATGTATTAGTATTTAGTAAACATTATAAAGGTTGATATTTTGGAAATTTACATGGGTAGGAATTCAATAACATTTTATACGTAATAATTTGATTATGTATATTAGTATAAAATTGTTGGCAAAGTAAGGTCTGTGAATAGTCTAAAAATCACAATGAAGCACACTATATAAATCTTTTGGAATATAATGTGCGATATTCTCATGTGATATTAATGAAGCACACTAATAAATTTTTTGGAGTATTTGTTTTGAGTAATAAGCAGTCAAAGTTTAACAAGTTTGACTCAAAAAGTTTGACTGTGACTTTAATTATGAAATGGAGGGATTACATTCTTTGAAGGCATATTCTCATAAATCATTATTGATTCTGATAATTTGTGATATTTCCAATATTCATTCATTCATTGCGGTTTTTTCTGTTCAATATATTCACCTCACATAATTTTTTAATTGAACATATAAATCTTTACTTTTTATTATATAATTTTAAAATGTCAAACATTTCGATGCAAAAAAATAAAGATGTGAATTCATTTATTTTGTAAGCATTAAAAATGCACAATGGAGTTCAATTTGAAATAAATTCCAATAAAAATGCACAATATTACATTATTTTATGTATTGTTATATTATATTATTTTTATTTTTGTCACTCTTTCCGTCTCACTAAGATTGTCGCATCTTTCTTTTTCGATTCGTCTCACTAAGTTTGTATCATACCAAACTTGATAAGTTTGTGTGCTTCTAAATCATTCTTACTTTATTAAATCAATATCAACCACATAAATACATTTTTCTTAATAACTACACCACATTCGTATGTCCTTCCTAATGTTAGTGTGACGAAGATAGTACTATGTACTATGTAGAATGTATTGTGAGGTTTGTTTTAATTAACCCAACTGCACAAATTAAAACAACCAGGTACGGTAGCGGCCACAAATTAATAATACTCCTCCACCCGCAATGCAACACACGAAAAAGGACGTGCCAATCATCTCCAACCATTTTCTCATGCGAGTTGTCAGACGTGTCACTGATAGTGGAGCATTCTAGATAAGAATGTTCCAAATCATTTTAGCAAAACAGTAGAACTCCCACCCCACCTCCAATGGTGTATTATTCTAGAATTATTCTCCAGCTAGTGAAAATGGTGAAAAGAGAGAGCGGAGGTTGTCATGAAATTTGGAAGATTAATTAAATGCATACATTTCCCCTATTAATGCTTAAAACCGAGCAAGTGAAACATGTAGAAGATGTTGTGTTAAGCAAATAAAAAGATTTACATTCTGAAATTTTAAATGGGTGGAACATACATCATAGATAATGGAAACATTCAACTCCTCCTCTGGTCTAGTTAAGGGAGGAAGTTCAATTGATGTTCACAACTGGTACGGAGTACTTTTTCTACTGTGAAAAAATTGCCTCATACTTAGCGTAATTAAATTTTCTAATAGTAATGTTGATAAAAAAAATTGTTATCCGATAACAATGTGACACATCATTGCTTTATAACTCAGCTTTATTATATATAACAATATATTTGGGTAACTTTGTGTAACACCCCCAAATTTCCTTCCCAAAATAATACTTAAAGAAATAATAAATTTTATTAATTATTCAAAACTTTCAATTGTTTGCAGCGGAATTAAACAATAACAAGGAAAAGGGGCGTGTTACCGCCACACCCAGCCCTAAACTGACTGGATGCTAAGGCTATCCACCAAAAATGTATCTAAACAAATATTCAATTTAACATTTGAAATAATGAAAACTAACAATGTTTATTCTAGATGTGACTACTCTAAAAGTCTTCTAGGAGCGCTCTCAAGGCATCAATCTTCATAAACCACATCATCTGTAACATAAGGAAATAAAAGAAACAAATAACACAAAAATTAGCTTTAGAGCTAAGTAAGTCCCACCCAACCCCGTAAAATAATAGGTTTGGTGAAAATAATATTTTGTATACCATATATACGAAAAAGTAGTTTAAGAGATAAATTTCATGGTATACTTCTTTCAAAAATGGATGATCCTCACTTTCATAAAAAAAATATTCTCTTCAATAGTTACTCTAGAAATGTTTTAAAATATAATTGGATTAAACTCCTAATACATTTGAAGGGCGGTGCTCAACATTTTATTGAGCCCAGTAGTCCGTTGTTATGTACAGCCACCCCGGGACTTTTGTCGGTACCACTTCTAACCTGGGGAAACTGAACCTCTACCTTAAGTGTGCACACCCTCTAAAAGGGATTCCAAGCCCTCCGAGTAGTAAGAAGTCCAAGTAGTTCGGACGTCAACGTCCCCCTACTCCACCAAAAAGGGATTACCCTATATAAGTGACTAGGTTACTGCTACTACTGAATAACAGGGTCTTTTGCCCGAATTTGAATTTCAATAAAACAACCACTTTAACCAATCTCCACAGTCAAGGTCGTGGACACCAAATCCCAACAAGTAATAGCAGTCCTAATCACTCTCCACAGTCAAGGTCGTGGAGGACACCGACATCCCGGATTTCTCCCGTGATGCCCTTACATTGAAAGGTTCATTTTATCTTTATTATTTTCCAAAAATTCAGGGATTACTACTCACGTAATTTCCCCAAAGTTATTCAACATTCAATAATGCATCACATTTTAATAAATTGCTCAACAAATAGTCAAATAGTACAATTTCATATTTCATACATACAATATATATACGAGGTAAAAATGCATTTTGGTTGCAATGTGACTTACCTCAAATCCCAGATATTCCTAACAAGCGCCTCTAACAGCTTCCTCTCCAAGTTCACCTTCTATTATTTACAAATACCCGATTAATATTCAGTCGGACTTATGGTTCAATTGTCTTAACACTCTTCCTTTAATTATTATCCCTTTCTGTTTTATTATTCTCAAAGTCCATTAATTTATTTGATATAATCAATTTTTAATTTGGTTTAAATCGTGATTAGTCTAACTATTGTCACAAGTCTAGTTCGATTAGTCCATTTATTCTTAATTAGTCCAATTTATCAAAAGTCCATTAGAATAGTCTATTTTAATTAATCCATTAATGACGTAGCATTATAATAGTCTGAATTATAGTTTGTATAAGTGAATATAAACGAACCAGTAAATTAGTTTGACTTTCCAATTAATTGATCTGTTTATATTTTAATGTAAGCCGATAATCAATTAGTCAAGTTTAATTAATAATAATCAAATAAAGTTTTATTTTAAACTAATCAGTCCAATGATAATCGATCATTCAATTCAATCTTTCCATTAGTTTTATAACTAGCGATCCATCCATTGTGTTTTATTGTTATTATTAATGTTCAAATGTCGTTAAATCAATCTGGTTTAATTAAAATAATACACCTTACGTTTTAATCTAAACAGTCCAGTTATAATAATCAATCAGTTTATTCCTTTTAACAATTAATAGCTAAAATCAATCAGTTTTCAATCAGCTTATTTTTATTCTTAGCAATCCAGTTTACCATGTACCGTCCATTAATGAACTTATTTAATTTCGATCCATTTACATTGACTAATCCAGTATTATCATTAGTTAGTTTTGAATTTAGTTCACTGTCATGTCTAACGATCATCCATATTAGTTGGTTTATTAATTTTATTATAATCATGATGTCCATTTTAAAGTGCTTCACTAATCAATCGGGTTTAACAGTCAAACTTTCATTTTAATCCAATTAGTCCATCCATTCGCTAATAGTTATTCAATCTATTTAAATCATTGATTTTATAACCGCTAATCATTCCATTATTATTATGTTCATCTTGTCATTAATTAATTTATTTTTTTCCGAACAGTCCATAATACAATATACAACCTACTAATCTATTACATTAGTGGTCTTATTCAATACTCCGTATTATTATATTTATGATTTCAGCACATTGTATATACAGTAAGTTACGTAGTGATATACCAAGTACATTCGTTTAATTTGTCTTCCTTAATCTTTACGTTCGTGGAAACGCCATAAAACGAAGAGAACGCAGAGGTCGTAACTTACCTACGCCGGATGAGTTTCACGGCGGCAGGCCGGCGGAGGACGTCTTATGACAGCCGATCGAGCAGATGTTGGCAGCTTCCCCTTCCTCCGGCGAGTTTCTCTTCCTCCGACGCTTCTTGGTTTTCTGCTCCAATAACGACCCCACCTTCTTGACCTCTCAAGCTGAGAGTCGTATTACTCTCATATTCTCACGAAGTTTTCTCTCTTCGGCGCAGTTCGTCGCTCGTGGGTTTGATGCAGTGTAGGTTGATCGCAAGACTGTTATTTATAGGAGTGGCCGAAGGTTCTAGCTACCCGATTAGCTTTGATGTGCGAAGAATGCGTAGATCGTTCGCAGTTCTTATCAATTCGCAAGTGTGTAGCGCAAGTCGTACAGTTTAATTCTTATCTAGTAGGTTATTATTACTTGTATTTTAATGTTATTAGTAATTTAGTATTATACGTATAATTAAGTTTGAAAAGTCCACTCCCCTTTATACTTGCTACTATGACTTTAAATTGTGTGTGTCGTATTATATACTACCTCCGTATATGTGTTTGTTTATTTTTTTTCCTTCTTTTTAATGCATAAGGTATACTTGTAGCTACTAATCTTTATTTTTAGTGTATAACTATCGCACGTATAAAAATCTCACTTTTATTATCCAAGCCGAAATTTACTCTCTGGTCAACTTAATTATAAAAATGTTAATTAAATTATTCATTTTATTTTATTTAAAATTTTCGAAGTGTCACACTTTGTCCCTACATACCTCTTTTTATTTCCATTTGGCACAAAATTCTCATTCCTAGGGTGTGTGAACAGCCAGGCAGATGGGCTCGAGGTGAATGAGGCAGGCAGACTCCCACCCCCTAGGTCCTCTCAATTCATTTGAGCACCTTGGTTTACCATTTTTGGCTGTGTTGGAGCTACTTTGGGGGGAAACCTCGAATTTGGAATTTTCACTCCTCCCATTGCAATTAGCCTTACAAATAGATTTGAAGGACATAGCTTTCAATGGTTAACTATGGTAAGGTGTCACCACTTTTGATGTGTCACTAGTTTTAAAGGGAAGATTGTGATTGAATATAATATTATTAATAAAAAATGAAAAGGATTTAGTTATAGTTAACTATTGAAGTATTTTTTTACTTTGAAAATAGCTATCCTAGAAATGTGTGTGTAGCAAATCAAATCACAAGAACAACTAGCTAACCCTTGATGATGCTATAACAATGTCAATTACCAACAATAAAAAGTTACATAGATAGTTCATTAATACTCTTTTCTATAATGTAATTCATTTATATTGCAACCAGTATGTAGGATATGGATCTCACACGGCTGACTATAACTTGTAGTAGTACTACGTATTATCTATTCCAATAAAAATACTCAGTAATTTGAAACAAAGTTATTCTATTTCTTTTCTTCTCATTCTTCCGTATTTCTCCTTTTACATTCTCTTCTTAATTTTCTTCTTCTACTTTTTTATTCCAAACCATTCTCTATCATTTGTTGTTATCACGTGAAGCTTTGAAAATGTCAAGTTAGTATTGTTACCATGGTACAATTCTTTCTTCTTTCTTGTGTATTGTTGTTGTGCCGATATATTTGGATATGTTATTTTCTTATCATTAAAATGTGATGTACGATGTCTCTAAACTTGGTGAAAGATATTCGATCTTATATTCGAAAATACCTTTTGATATCTTTTTTGAACATGTTTTTTTGAATAAATAAATAATGACCAGCATAAGTCATTAGTATTGTGATATTCAAATCATTATGATACATGTTTATTGTACCTAGACCACATTTGTGAAAATTCATTAGCCTTGTGAAAATAAAATCAAAATCACAATGACCAGTATATAAAATCACAAAGATCAAAATAGACTTAAAACTAGTTATATCATGGCTAAAATATACATAAACTAGTGATAAAAGACAAACCATATGAGGACGTGTATGCCATTCTATTATTTACATCTCATTTCTTCTGATTTTCTAATGCACCCATTTTGGGTATAGTTGCTTGTCTAGAGGATGGGTTGTCTAGGTAAACCATCTATCTATAAAAAATAGCATACATTTCACTCTCTTCTATCACAATCTATCACACATTTACACTCTTTGAGTTGGTAGTTGACACTACACTTCTGTACTTTGTTCACATAGAGTTCATACGAACACCGTTGGACAATGGTGTATTGTCAGACTTTTTGCTATGTTTTTCTCTTTATAGCTTTTCATTTAAACATAAGTAGATATGCAAGCATGATGTGAGGTGGGGGTAAAAAAATGTCCCCTATTTCATAATGAAGCTTTGTATTATGATGACTATGCGGATGAGTCACCATGAAAATATCATTGTGGCCAATGTATATTAAAAAATACTCCCTCCGTTTTTTTTTATTAGTCCTTCTTTCCTTTTTGGCACGTATTTTTTTATTTGTCCTCCTTTCCCTTTAAGGAAAGTTTTTGAAAAAATACTCCCACTTTTATTACTTTTACCCCACTTACTTTTTACAAATTACTTTCTCTTTCCTACTTTACTACCACTTTACTCTTCTTAATACACTCTCTTTCCTACTTTATCATCACTTTACTCTTTTTAATATACCATCTTTCCTACTTTATCAGTTACCCTACACACTCTATACTTACCCTACTACTTTATTATTAAAACTCGTGTCAAACCCTAAGAGGACTAATAAAAAAGAACGGAGGGAGTATGCCAATACGGTCAACGTAAAAAAACATCATTGCACATAAAGATCACATTTTTGGTAATCTATTTTATTTTAGTTTTATACTCGTATTTGTCATTGTTTATAAAATAAAATTGGATACCTAGAAATAGGATAAATTAATGAAAATAGTTTCTATTCTTGTCAATGAGGAAAGAAATTATTAGTCCAATTTTAATTTTAATTTCCCTAATTACTAGGTCCAAGAATATATCCATTTCTAATTACTCAATTCATTGCCCTTCATTGATCAATCCATTTAGAATTTAATATGTCTTTCATTTAGTTTATTTTTGAGCCATCATCAGTATTTACATAAATTTAGTTAGTCTCTTTTTCAAAAGTAGTTTAGGAAATCAATCAAAAGTTTTTAATTTGGAAAGCTTCCAATAATTTGCGATAACCTGTGACTAGACTTAAAATCAAGAAACTCCTCCGCCATTCCTCAAGAGACACGATACTCGGGGAAAAACCGAAAGGTTAGACTCCATTTTACTACAACGCCGCGAAAGCGGTTATCAATAAGGCTGTTAAATCATGTGAGGAAACACTTTATTTGTAAGACTATATAAAGAAGTTCAACTAAAGAATTGGGAAATAGTTCTTTCAGTGATTCATTACTGTAAAAAATGTGCACTCAAGTACATATTGATATCTACAACTAGACTGCAATTGAATTTAGTGACTTGTGTACTATCTACCCATGTATATATTATATTTATAAGTATATATGTACCATTTTTGGGAAGTGGGTGAAACTAAGCCTGACTACTTTCTAAATGATGATGCCTCTAAAGCCAGGATTGGATCCATGGACCATTCTAAGGTTTTAGGATCACTTGTTATGCTATACTTTGAAATCAATCATGGACCTGTCAGAAGGTCAGTCATGTGCGACTTGCCATCATCATTAGCCGGAGGACTATCCAATGGAATATCCACAGTGGCGATGATGTTAGCCATTTGTCCAGATGTTCCTGAGTTTTGGTTAGCCATGTCATGATGAGGTTTCATAGCACTCGATGGGTGCATTGGAGAATTGTCGGGCGAGTCGTTTGGACTACCTCCCAAGGTTGTTGATTTCATACCTCCTCCAGGCTTTACCACATTCTTATGTTGTTTAGCCTTTTTATGCCAGTTCATTAGGGCTTTTGAAGTTTGTTCATCAAATATAGACCTCTTCATGGTTGATCCCATCTGAAAGTGGAAAAATAGCATAACAAAGTGGGTCAAGTGAGACAATCGCAATAATTAAATTTAAGGCAACACGTCTAAGTAGCAAAAAGATCAATTGTCTCAAGAAAAAATAACTTCAAATAAAACCAACTATTTAATGACCATATTTGAAGTCAGGAACTGGCTCCATATTATATATTCAAATAGTCGAGGTACAAAATATTTGCTTCGATAAAATATGAAATAGTTGTTCTATAGTTTAATCATTGGTCAATGAGTGATACAAATATTATTTAAAATTATATTTCAATAATTTTACAAGAAAGTGACCCAGATTTTTTCCAAGGTCTCGTTGTGGATTTACCTGGGTCACAAGTGCATACAATGGAAGTGTGATGTAGCTGCACAAGAATTGTACTCCGAGCCTGACAAATTATCATCAAAAACTTTGATCGTATTGATTAAATAAATAATTATCATAGTTGTACATCTCCTACCAAAGTGCTAATATACACGTACATGGTGGAACTCAGAAGTTCCCATATTTTTGAAGTATAAAAGTGAAAAAAAACAATAAAAATAATCATGTTTATTTTGGTTCTCTTGAGATAATCGTGATGACTCAAAACTTGTCAAATTATCATCCAGCAAAGTAGACCACGGTGATTCATGAGTTAGTTGCCTTGGTTGTACATCTGCTACTAAACTGCCTATAAATGCATAATTTTTACTTGTGTGTAGGAAACAGCGCACCACTTAGAAGCCCTTCTGTTTTATAAATATAGATTTGTGAAACAACACTTGCGACACACATGATTATTTGGATGCTCTCAACACCTTTAGGACTTGGAGTGGTGAGGTTATCTAGCATGAATTAAAAAAAGAAACATAAATTAACTTGAACTTACCCGAGACAAACTCTCAGAACAGCAAGATAGAAGTTACTGTGGAAACAAGAATGCAACCCAAACTCATACTGCCAGTGGAAGCATTTTATTAATATAACTATACCAAAAATGACTTAGAATTTAAAAAAGAAACAAAAGAGAAAAATTCTTACAGATATCCAGACGAAATATGTTATCTCAAATGCATTCTGAAAAGGTGAAATATGAAAAGTTGCTTGTTAGGATGTTCAAATATCATAAAAGTATGCTAACATAAGTGTTGTAATTACTCTATAAATGTACGCAAATTATAAATACTAGGTTTACAAAGCCTAGTTTTTAGGGGGCATGTCTATATATGTAAACATTGCATTGCTTTTTAAAAGTTATAAGTGAAAATAGTTTTGTCAATCAACATTTTATGAGAGCCTATACTCAAAATGCTCTAAAATACACTCAGGCAGTGATGTACAACAATATAACAGCTGTGAGTTCTGAATAGTAACACATAGCATCCTTATCCTGCATAAAATAATGTCATGAGCCTTTGACTCCTGAAATAGTGTGGAATCTGATTGTAGTTGTGTAGAGATTATCAACTCAACTACGAATGATTGGGGCTTGGAATTGTCACACAAGAGCATAGAGATGAGGATGGTTATAGACTCCAAAAAGATTGATTGCCAAGTTTTTTAAAGTCAATGTTGTTGTAGCAGATGGAGTGTTAGATTTGATCATATATAAGTTTGGAATATCCATCGAGCCATTTTTATTCCACTATTGGTTATATCTCTTTTCAGGGTTGGCCATTGTGCTCCATTTTTTCAGACTAAGGCACACTCCCACGCTGATTTATCATGTGATTCTAGGATAATGTAAAAGGTCTAGACTAAACCTAGACTTATGATCTAGGGCTTGATTCCTAAAAATTTGATACATATTCTTAGGGTCACAAGCAAGTCCAAAACAAGAAAAAATAAATTGTAGAGGCCTTTTTTCAGCTCACTCCATTCATTCTTTTTCCTAGCCACTTGGTTTTTCATACTAGTGTACATTGTGTTGCGATTAAATAGCATTTATGTTTTATCTAATTCACTTCCTTTCTCTTGTGCCTATTTTTGGATAACCCTCATTTGGGGGTGGGGGTGGAGGTGGGGGCTGAATGATAATCTTTGTAATGAGTTTTTGGAATTAATATCATTTGGCATCAAACTACATTGAGTATGTTAGATGCTCAATAGTACCGGACATCCCTCATATTTTCAAATGAACACACATTTGTAGATTTCCGAACAAGGCAAAACCATAATCACCACTTAAGGTTGTATGTGAGAAACGTGTAGTTGTAGACTGCAATGAAAGAATAATTTAGACTCTCAAGAGGATGTTCTCTTTGGGGGGATTTTCCCACACTAATTTTATACGATCCCAACTTAATACATAAAGCATGATCTAAACTTACATTCATTGGCTACATTTTGTGATGTAGTGAGAGCTGGAATCCTTATCAATTTGATAATGGACTTATAGCTTTGAAAGAAGCAAGAATGCTGGACTTGTGTTAAAGTATGGTAATAGGGTAAAGTATAGTAATAGCAATTGTAATGTAAAACTGTTTAAAAACTCTACCGCCTAAACTATTTCCATCAAGGTCTCTTATTTTGCAATGCAAGAAATACATGCACGCACGCGTGCGGGTGCGCGCGCGCGCGCACACACACACACACATACTCCCTCCGTCCCTTATAACTTTGCCAACTTTCCTTTTTTGGTTGTCCCAAAAACTTTGCCACTTTCCATTTTAATCAATCAATTTGTGGCTCATGTTATTTCTCTCTCCTCTTCACAAATCTCTACCACACAGTTTTTACTTTATTATTCTACGTGCCGGTCAAACATGGCAAACCTTTAAGGGACGGAGGGAGTATATAAATAAACCCATAGGGGCAGCTAAGTACCTGGAAGAGTGTGAGATGGATAAGATGAAGGACTAACTTTGGCTTGCTAAACCAAAAATTTCTGTCTGACACTTGTACAAGAGGTATGCCCTGGACTACAGCATGCCTTTCTTGGATTTCAATGGCCATTTGAGCTATTATTGCTTGAAGCTTTGTCCCAACCGCTAATATTGTCTATACGAACACAAGAGTTGTTGGTGTACTAGAAATTAATATTTATAAATAGAATGCGATGTTATATTTGAATATTCTTACAACTAAAGGCATTATGGAAAGCCAAAACATAGTCTGCCATCCTGAAATAATTTGAAAAAAAAACCATGTTTATTCAAATAAAAAATGTCTAACTGAAATTATGAAGGCCAAGACATGAAAAACCAAAGACCTACCGCTCACATTCAGCAGAAGATAAAGAACCGCCGACGTCCATAACACCAAACTGAAAGAAGCACATAAATAAATGATTGGGAAAATATGATGTGAAATGTTGAAAGATAACAGAGCAATCGAAAAAAATCGTTAAAAGGAGTTGAGATCAAATAAGGGACATACTTAATTCCAACAACCACCTTGAAGTCGTCTTCTAATGATCTTTTAATGTACTTTTGAAAGTCAAACTTACTTCCTGGAGCTAAATGGACCTGTAAGTAAAATAATGAAGGAGAAGAGGGCATCAGAAATATATAAATGAAACCACCTACCATGATAGAATATTAACCCCAATAGAGAGCTATATTGTCAAAAATCTCACCGAAATGAAACCGTGGCGCATAGCAAAGTAGTCAGCTCTACGAACAGACCTAAAAAATTGTCGGAAGAAGCAAGCCTGAAAAGTGTGAGAGCTTAACAATCAATTTTATTTACAAAAACAGTGAAATTGTCATATGTTGAGGAGCTCAAAATATATGATCACTTTATGCATCAGCATGCCTTCCTAATTTGATTTTCTTCATTTATTGGGTATAGTAATTAAATAAGCCCATTGGTTTTCTTCGTAGTTCTCTTACAGAGTAGAAAAGAATCGGTGTTTGAGTCATGAAACTGGTGTTTTCTTTTACAAAAGAAGTTTCCTTTGTAAGTCTGAACCTTGAAGGATCTGCAAACCCATGTGAAGAAGAGTGTGAGTTGGCAGTAGAAATAGTTGAGTAGCAAAGACAAATTAAAATGTAGGAGCCTATTTTGTCATCGTCTAAAAAGAATACCGTTGGCTGCTTCATCTTGAGAAATTGCATGTTCCCATTCCTTCCATCCCCTTATCTGCATATAGCAAATGAAAGACACCATGTCTTGATTATAAAAATGAATAAGGACTACTAATTGTTGAACAAATCACTCGAAATTGCAAGGATGACACGACTTAATGGGGGGTCCCAGTGTACTAAAGAAAACTATACCATAACAACAATTAATTGATCTTTTGATGAATTGAAAAACTTGTTATACTCCAGGTCAATGGTAAAGTGTGTCAGTAAATTGAGAGGGAACCGGGAAGCCTTACCTTCATTCTTCCCAACATCATTGTTATAGCACCGTAGATGACATGAAATACAGCTAAGAAGAAAATGAAGATGTGTAGTTGGTGCAAACCATTGAGAGAAATTAGTGGTACATGCCCCTGTATACACAAGGATATATGATTAGCATTGGCAATAGTCCATGATACATAAGAATCTAGCTAGACTCATTTGTATATAAATATCCAATAGTTACATATTATAGCAATACCTTGTGTTGAGCCTACATGGATTAACATAACTTGACATTAAAATGTGCAAGAGCTAAACATGTACATCCATTTAATAATCTTTGATGTCATTTCATTCCTTATAACTTTAAATGATAATTCCTTTTTCCCACATTGTTTGAATTTTGTAATAAGTGTGATGGCGTACATAGTAAAACTTTTTTTCGACAACCATGATACCAACTCTAAATAATAGACTTAAGGTAATAAGACAAATCTACTCAATGGAATCAGACATACATCCTTGCACTCCCCGGGTGCACTATCGGATGATAAAATTCTACGTCCATTCCATAGAAGCCTTCTGTGATGCTCCCCTCCTTTTTCATCTTGTTCCTCATGCTTCACTGGGCACGGAAGCATAGTGTTACCAACTTCTATAGGGATGCATATCTTAGCAATGTAGTTTTGCCCAAATGTTAGCAGCAGGGAAATAAATCCCAAAACCATGAGCTCTGCGAAAAAAGGTTCATGAAGATAAGTCACTTCAACTAACTAGATTTCTCATGTAACTGTGTAACCTATTAGCGCAACTCTCTTTTCATCGGGTTCAATGTTGCAGCAAAAAAGGCTGGACTCGTTACCTCCTTTAATTTTCTCCAAAGCTTCATACAACGCTTTTTTCCGTTTTCTCTCAAATGTCTGAAATAACAAGTAATCATTAATTAATAGCAACACCACAAGAAATCCTACCCACAAATGTAGTGGTGGAGCTGAAAATGTCATGTTAAGGGGGCAGAGTTTGAAATTTTTATAAAGTGGACCAAAGATTTATATTTAAGCATACTATAAATACCCGTGAATATTATAATGACACAGAAATTGTGATTTTTTGGGGAACCACGCCCCCTCACCCCACTATTGCTCAAATTATAGAATACATTGACTGAACATTTCTTAGTCTGTATATTGGAAAAGAGGTGCGAGTCAAAATGTAGAAATCATAGGCAATGGGAGATGTGATATATTTCAACCAACATATTTTAAATCTAATAAATAATCCATGTGAAAAAGTTATATTTAGAAGCAACGACAAATACATGGGAGGGGCAAGCAGGGCCGCCTCGGCCTCCCAATTTTTTTATCAAGTAGGTGTAATTACTTCAAAATTTTAATATGTGTGTGTGTGCGCCATTGTTGATAGAGAAGAATGGAAAACGGAGAGAACAAAAAAACACAATATAAGAATTATTTTCTCAAGCATTCAATGAATTCAGGATAAATACCAAAGCATCTTGAGTTGTAGCTTAAAACTAATAGAAACATTAGTTACTGCATAATGTTTCAAAAGGTGGAATAACTAGGAAAAGGAGGAGCATAAATGTGCTTTTACGGGGAAAGGGGGAGAACGAAAAAGAAAGAAAGTGGTGATCACCGATCCAATTTTGTGAAGCACTTTTTCCAGCATTAAGGAAATAACTACAATGACCAAACAAACTATTGCAACAGCCCATGTTGGTGTCTGGTCAAGCTCTCTTGACCCCTTCCTTCCACCACCACCACTCATTTTCTTCTTCCTTTGAAAAACTTTCAGATATATGTGAATGAACTTGCTCCTCCTCAATCCAGATTCTGATAATATATTCTTCTTCCATGCAAATTTTCAAACATATCATGTGCTAAAGAAATGGACAATGAAAATACGTGTTCCCCGGCAATAGCAAAAGGATTTTGCATAGTTTTTCGTAAAGGTTTTGTTTGTGAAATCCAAGAGGCAGTTGCATGTAATTTTGGGAAGGAGGCGAATGAGAGATTTGGCAGTTGAATGGGTGACGTTCAGGCAAAATTTTGTCTTTGCATCATAGCTTGTAACAACCATTGCTTGTACATGAATTATGTTGGCTTTCAATAGCCAACGGCTATAAATTAGAACGTTGGCTCACCTGTGGTTTATTTATTGATTGATTGATTTATTTAACTAATACATAATGATAATTAATAATTAAATAAACATTGTACTTCAACCACCAAAACTAATTTAAGGTCCGTGTGGTTTATGAATGGTGATTGGCACTTGGACCAAATGATTTGGTGAGTGAATAATTAATGAAGAAATAACTTTTATAATGTTATATACTCCGTACTACATAGTATATATGATTATATTACTAGTATTATATTAATAATGCTTCCACGTACAAAATGGGCACGAGATATTTTTACTTATCTATGATGTACTTTCAAGTTTAAAATGATACACTTTCACAAGGAAAGATAATTTTTAATTTGATTCATGTGTGTATATACGTATATATGATGTGGTTCCAATAAAAGTGTATCTATCATTAAAAGTTTGAGTGTACATTTTTCAATGGATCTAATGCACTTTAATTTTGGACTTGCGTGATATACTTATTTTAAGGTGGCACAAGAGATTGATTTATTTACTAAAATGCTACCATTTTTTTATGTCATTGACTGCACAGTTTGATGCACCAAATTAATTTGATCTTATTTTTCTTGAGAAAAACTATTTCTTAACCAAAATACATACATGTAATAATTGCATGTATGCATCTGTAATATTATGTAATATATATTGTATAGAAAGTTAAAGGCAAATAAATGAAAACATCTTCACAATCATGTCTATCTTTTATTTATTATAATCAAAATCAAGATTTACAAGAAAAATAGCCATGTTAACTTCTCGTTAATTATCTACCATCATGTATCTCGTTCTTTGTTTGAGATAATTGCATCTGAGACCTAGTGGGCAAACGGGTACTGGAACCGCGGGTCGGGCCGGGTAATACAGGTTCAGGGCGGGTTAGGGTCGGGTCCAAATTTTAGAAAATCCAGACGGTTCGGGTCGGGGCGGGTCCTAAAAAACTAAGGAACCGAACGGGTGTTAAAATTTGAAAACACGGGTACCCGGGCTGAACCGTTTTAAAATATTATTTTAATAATCTCTATTATATTTAATACTAGTATAATATAATAATATATAATATACTAACAACAGACCAAAGCTCTTCATGTGCTTGTGTGTAGAAAAAGATATTCAATTAAAGAAACTTCTCATTCTATTAAAACTAGTTTACATGTCCGTATAATTAAACTCCTAAATTATTTTCCTCTATTCGCTATTCCAAATGCATCAAACTTTCTTTTTTTAATATATTTTTTGTAAACAAGACTGTTACTCAATGAAGTGTGACATATTCGTTTAATTATCTTAATCTTACTTATACTTGGAGATTTAATAAGCTTTAAATGGTTTTCATAGACAAATATGTATAGTAACTAGGACATGAAATGAGTCAAACCATCTTCCTCCATCTTCCTACCATAGAATTATCACCAAAAACCTCAATCGCCTGAAATGAGTCAGACTCCACCTCAAAAGATCGATAACCATTATCAATTGACCAAGATACCGATCTGTAAATCGCTAATATCTCTGCCTCTAGGACATGAATGTGACTAACATTACTATAAGTATATTGTAATAATGAATTAGAATCAAATGAGAAGAGTGCTCATGGTAAGAAATGATAACAAATCTGATTCATTGATTTTGAGATCTAATGGTTGCAAAAGCATAATAAAGGTTAAAAAGTGATGAATGATGCGGTGACATAATCATAAATAACTAGAAGAAAACGTAAAAATGCATAACTAGAAGAACTCGTAAATTCATAGTATATTACTATCAAACTAATAGTAGCCGACAAAAATGTGATTTTGTGACTTATAATGACTATCATTGTATTAAAAGTTTACATCACATTGATTACAAAAGTATATGTGTAGTCACTACAATGTAAGCTTTGAACATAATATATAATCACTAAAAGTTACCAAATCACACTTTTATCCATAACATTTGTATTAGTACTATTGTAGGAAAAACATCTAAAAAGAAGTAAAATTAATCATTTCTCACGCTAACACGTCTTTTTGTTAGAACACACCCATCTTAAAGCTAAGGTTGATAGGTTTACCTGAAAATGTAGTGTTTTCAAGATCCCACATTCGGACATATGGGGGCCATGATAGGAATGAGAACACTATCAGGATTTTCGTGAAATTAACTTTAGCGCTTTGGGGATTGAGACCTATTGGGAGACGAGTTAATGGAATTTCTCTTAACACTTGCCAAGATAAAGTATGATTGGGTTTATGATTTAGTTACCGGCTTATATACCGTTGATTGATGTTGACCGACATTTATTTTCTTTCTTTCATTTACTTTTTTCTCCTTTTTAGCTTTATTTTATTCTTCAATTTTCGTCCTTCATAGGCATTGTACCAGAGCGCTTTTGGTCCAGGAAGGAATATTGTGAAGCTGAAGAAAATGGAAAAAGAGGGAGTTGTGGCCTTAAAACTAGATATGAGTAAGGTCTATGATAGAGTGGAATGAAAAATTTTAAAGATGGTGATGGTGGAGCTGGGGTTTGATATGAGATGGATTAATTTAATTATAGCATGTGTACCATCCGTTTCGTATAATATCCCGTTTCATAATTCTGCAATCGGGCTATCACGCTCAACGGGGGTTGCGACAAGGAGATCGGTCCTTTGTCTCACCTTTTATTTGCAAATGATAATTGTTTATTTTTTTGAGAAAGGAAAGAAGAATGTATGGGGGTGAAAGAAATCCTAAAGCAATATGAGGACCTTTCAGGGCAAATAATAAATTTTGATAAATCAAGTGTTTCTTTCGGTGCTAATGTGGGGAATGCGTTGCAGAATGAAGTGTGCACTTTGCTGGGAGTTCATGAAGGGGCGTCCTCGAGTAAATATTTGAGGCTGTCAGCACTAGTTGGGAGGAAGAAGAGGGAAATACTTGAGTACCTCAAAGAGAGAATTATTAAAAGATTATAGAGTTGGAATAATCGATTTCTTTCTAAAGCGGGAAGAGATATTTTATTGAAGATGGTTATCCAAGTGATGCCTAAATATGCTATGAACATGTTTTTACGACTGGATACTTTAATTGAAGAAATTGAGCGGTTGATGAATGGTTACTTGTGGATAGGTAACGACCTCACGAGTGGAGGCATCCATTGCAAAAGATGGAAAGCAAATTGCATCCCTAAAGCTTGTGGAGGGTTGTGATTTAGATGGTTAAAAGAAGTTAGCATAGCCATGTTCCAAAAACAATGCTAGAAACTATTATCCGAGCCAAATACATTGGTTAGTCAGGTGTTGCAAGCTAAGTATTTTCCTAGAGGTAATTTTATGGAATCCAAGCTAGGGAATAATCCTTCATTTGTTTGGAGGAGTATATTAGCGGCTCAAAAGACTATTATAGCAGGTACTCGTCGAAGAGTACTGGAAAATGGTAGAGAAATTTCAGTGAGGATGGACTTTCGGCTCCCTGGAAAGGGGTCTGGGAGGGTGTCTTCTGCCCAGCCATGTTGCAGATATGAATGTAGCATCTCTACTTATGAGGAGGAAGCGATTGCAATTCAGAGCATTCTCTTGAGTTCACGTCAGGTGGAAGATGGTTTCTAATGGAAAGATGAGGACAGTGGTGAGTTTTCATTTCAGAGTTGTTATAGAAGGCTAATGGTAGAAATCCAGCCTTGGTGTTGGACCGGATGGGCAGTAGCTTGGAAGTTCCAAATTCCACCTAAAACAAAGTTGTTTTTTGGCAATTTGCTAGCGCAATTGCCCCAACAGCTGATATTTAAAAAAAAAAAAGAGAGTGCAAGAGATTGGAGATTGTCCTTTTGTAAGCAAGAAGTGGAAATGATGATCCATTTATTTATTAAACGTCGGGCGGTTTTTGAGGTGTGGGAGGCTGCTGGTTTTTTATCCGTACAAAGGGGGGATTCTTTTGATGGTTGGCTTCAATATGTTTTTAAGTGTTTGGTCGAGGATGATTTGTACAGATTTATAATGATTCTGTGGGGAATTTGGAAGGCTATGAATGGGGTTGTTTGGCGGGGGGCCGCTTTTGAAGAGAGGAGTTTTGCATTCTGCAATGACCATGTTAACAAGCTGGAGGTTAGCCCAGAAAGGAAGAAACCAGATTGCAAACGTAGTTGGACAATCACAAGAGCCTGGATGACAGATCCAGAGATGGACTAGATCAGGGTTAATGTGGATGCAACCAATAATGCGAGGGTCGGAAGGTGGGCATGAGTGGCTTGAGACAGTAATGGATTTTTTATTAAAGCACACAACTAGTCAGTCAAGGCGACGTGGACTCCATTGAAAGCGGAAGCTTTGGGAGTGCAAGAAGCTATTTACTGGTCAAGATTAAACGGGTGGCACAAGGTAATGATAGAGACGGATGTCGCGCTTGCGGTTTTCTGGGATACACGGGGAGACGTTTGCTTCTCAAGCCGGGGTTATTTTGGAGGATATAAAGCTCTTCATAAGTGAGAATTTAATGTTAAAGATAAAGTGGTGTAAGAGACCGACGAATCAAGTAGATCACGTTTTAGCTCGAGCACTTGTTTCTTCATCTGGTTGTGATACTAGTTTTGTCAAGCCATTATTTTTTAATGTAAGCTGATTGTCAAACGATTTTTAATGTGTGGTTTGATATTTTCTCTAAAAAAGCGTTGTACTTTCTTTTTAATTTTGGAAAAACTGACACTAATAATCCGACATTTACCCGGTATTCCTAAAACAATCCCAATTATTAATAATCCAAAAAAACAACCTTTAATTTGTATTATCTCTTCCGTCAACAGTCCGTTTGACTTGTTACCGGCTAAAAAAAGCAAACTTCTTATCGCCAACCCACAGACCAAGTTGGAATACCTTCGACCAATACCCGTCTACGGAATACAGAATAATAAGAAAATTTGAAAGTTTCAGAACGGGAAGATGGACAGAGAGCGACGGAGTTGATGACAGAGTTTTACCGGTGCAGCCACTACGTTGATAATAGGTAAATTTTCGAATCCATACTCTCTAAAAATCATTTCTAGATAGCTTGTTAATCATTTGGCTCGCTGTGCAGTGTGTATATTTTATACGTTTAAAAAAAATGTGAGAGTGGTTTCTTAATCATTTAGGTTGATGAACTTGTTATCTTATAATGTCCATTAGTATTGAATTTTGTATACAACAGTAAAACTCCCATTAATTGAGTGTGTATTTGAGTATGTATTAAGTGTTTGATGAAATGTGGCCACATCCATGTTATTTAGAACTTTGTAGAAACTGAAACCGGATTTTGAGTAATAGTGAAGTCCTGTTATTTTTCAAGACGTAAATTTAGTTTGTAATGAGGTTCTTACTAATATTGAGAGTGTTTTACAATTGCTAAATATGTTTTTATTCTTGTGTAGATGGCTGTAATGGATCGTGTAACTTGATATTCCGAGTTTTTCCCGAAATAATACAAATTAAATAAATAATTCCCAAAATACTGCTGGGTTAAAAATAAGTCCCAAAATACTGTTGAATTAACCATGGTTAATGAAAGCCGCCACTTCAAGTGGCGGCTTTTCTTCCGACAGTACAAGAGCCGCCACTTCAAGTGGCGACTTTATTCAAAATTACTAAACGCATGAACGTAGCATAGACGTAACGCCCCCACCACATATGGTAGTGGTCCCACCAAAATTAAAAAACTTCTGTTTTATTTGAAGTGTTATAACTTTTTTATTTGTACTCTGATTATTACGAAAAATATACCAAAATTCATAATTTTTTGTTATCTTTCATATGACACCAATATTAAATATATAAAATCAAAAAATAATTTGACACTTTAAAAATTAGGGAAAAGAGTCAGATAGGCCTTTGTACAGTTGTACTTACATAAAAAGGTCAAGTAAGCCCTTGTATAGGATGCTCTGTCCGTCCACCGCCATTTGGGGTGGTTACCGGTGGAATGTTTTATGATTTTTTAATCATCTTATTCATTAAGTCTAGTTTACTCATACCAAATTTCAGCTAAAACTTCAATCAGGAAGACATTCAAATGAATTTTTGAAGATAACTGCGCTATTATATATATATTTGTTTTTAAACTGTTACATATTTTTATTTGGAGATAAGGGTCAGTTTGGTCCTCGAAGTTGCAAAAAAGGGGTCAAATAAGTCCTTATATAGAAGAATCTGTCCGGACGTACCATTTGAGGTGGCTCCCGGTGGAATTTTTTGATGAATTTTTTTGAGCATGTTATTCATTAAGTCTAGTTTACTCATACCAAATTTCAGATAAAAATTCAATGGCGAAGACATTCAAATGAATTCTTGAAGATAACTGTGCTGTTATCTTCAAGAATTCATTTGAATAACAGACATTAATGATGGTGATTTGAGTTAGAAGGTGAATTTGCTGAATTAGAAGTTGAAGGTCAGTTCAATGACTTGTTTTTTGATTGGGGAAATGAAGATTTCAATGATGATGAAGCAGAAGTTAGTGATGACGAATACAGAACTGCAAAGAATAGAGTCAAAGAATATAATATTAAGTTGTTTGAAATCGCAAAACAACTTCTTCAACTTTTCTTCTAGCAACCTATTCTGAAATTCTAGCTCAATTTGAATTTGTGGCTTCTGAACTATGTCGACCTCTTCATCTTCAAGAGATGTCTTTGCATCAATCCCACCTTTCCACTTGAAGAAATTGCAACCTTCATCCTGACACACATACAAAATCCTCAAATTTAACATTCTAACCTAGATTTCATCTTTACAAAACAAACTTCGTTTTATCAATCAATTAATAAGATGAAATACATAATTAATCATGTGCACCGGGCTACTTCTAACATAGGTTTCCCTATTAAACAGCTATGCTTACTCTGTAAAGAAAAACCAGAAAAGTGTACAGGTCATAACATAGCTTCTGACTAGGGGTGGGCAAAAGACCCGGTCCCGTTGGTCCGTTCCGGAATGTTCCGGTTCCGTTCCGAAATTGTCCCGTTATATTTGGGACAAATTATTTTTGTCCCGTACCGGTCCCGAACCGTTTTAAAACAGAACGGGACCGGGACAAGTAAAATATATCCCGTTCCGTCCCGTTGTCCCGAATTCATAATTGTATGTAGTACTTTGTAGTAGGTTAGTGAGTTTATTAACAACTCATTATGTAATCCAAATTATAATAGTTATTCTTTTTTCACAACCCAAATACAAATGATTATTAAATATTAGTTGATTAATAATATAACACCTAAAAAACTCTAAACTACCTACTATCACATACTATGAACTATCATCTATCTACAAAAAAAGAATTTGATTTTTACTCTCAAAATATTCTTTTATCATTTTATTATAGATTTCTTGATAGATTTTTGTGATATAGTTTTTTCTGCTGCAACTTTCATGCAACCAATCTGGTAAGTTGCATTTTTTTCTCACAATTTTCTATATTAGCTATAGCTTTTTTGTCATAGAGTTTTCTTGCGCTAGTTTTTATTTTTTAATTTTTTTCAAATAGCTTTATTTTGTTTTTTGGATTGAAATTGTTTGACTCATTTTTTGGGATGTCCCGAACCGTCCCGTTTTGTCCCGGTACCGGTTTAAACGGGACAACAAAAGGACAATGTCTTGTCCCGTCCCGTTCCGAACCGTTATTGTAAAACGGGTTCGGGACCGGGACAAGCCAATTCTCGTTCCGTCCCGGACCGTGCCCACCCCTACTTCTGACTATTAAACATAGCCACAAAAATTCCTCCCAGCGTTAATCCTATTTTTAACAACCATCAAAATGGAATTGATGTTGTGATGACACTTCGCTCTTGGATTTACTCCTTTGCTTGATTTCGTCGAGCAAGACCCACCCACGTCTGAATGGATGTCTTGGGTGAACATTGATTGTATTGATTGCGTGAACCAGAATTTGAAATGATGAAGATGTTAGACAACTGGTAAATAATACACTGAGACTGTTGACGGAAGAGATGATACAAATGTTTTTTTGGATTATTAATAATTGGGACCGTTTTGGGAAGATTGGGTAAATGTCGGATTTTTAGTGTCAAATTTTCCTTTTATTTTTGGAAAAATAGAAACTAATAATCCAACCTTTTAGCAGTCTTCTTACAATAGTCCCACCTTTTTGTTATTCAAGAATAATCCAACCTTTGCACCAAATCTTCATTCGCTGGTCCCTGACCGGTTAATGACCTGCTATTCCAAGTTATTTTCTTATTTTTGCAAAATTTTATCTTTGTGAAAGGTGAGATATATGGTATAATAGCTTGCAAAGATAAGAAAATAACTTAGAATAGCAGGTCATCAACCGGTCAGGACCAGTGAATGAAGATGATGTGCAAAAGTTGGATTATTCATGAATAACGAAAAGGTGAGACTATTGTAAGAAGACCGCTAAAAGGTTGGATTATTAGTTTCCATTTTCCCTTTATTTTTTAATTTTTAATGTAACTTAATGTTGTCAAAAAGAAAAAGAAAAAACACCTATCTTATTTTCTTTCTCCCCCTCGTATTTTAGGAAAACCTTTAATGAATACTACAGCGTTTTTTGGTTGTAAATTGTAGCTTCGTTCATGTCCGAGTGTCTGTGTACGTGATAGTTTCGATTGGGGAAAACAATTGTATAAAGCCTACATTCAGATTCAATCCAACCTCTCTCCTATTCGCAAAATTCGATAAAAAGATATTTTTAATTGTTCCATTTAGAAAGAAACTGTTTTCCTGGCGGCGTATACAATCTAATTCAATTTGTTTTCTCCATCTACCCAAGGAAACTTCTGAGCTGATAAACTTGGGGGGTGCTCGAAGTTATTACAGTTATTTTCATCCATTTCTGGAATTTGTGACGGGTGTGATGAATAGTACGAATTTGATGAGTTGATCTGAGAGTAATTGAGGGATTGAGTAAAAGGAAAATGGCGGGACAGGGTCCAAATATGGAGCAATTCGAAGCATACTTTCAAAGAGCAGATTTGGATCGGGATGGTCGGATCAGTGGAGCTGAAGCTGTTTCTTTTCTCCAAGGTTCAAATCTACCGAAACAGGTTCTAGCTCAGGTGATCCCCAACTTACATCACTTTCTATAGACTATATTGCGCTCATTTTGGGTGATCTTCCTTATTTTGACGAAACTGGAAGGTTGAACCTGCTTATGAAGGCTTAGTTCCTCGCCCCTCTCTATCTTGATTTTGTGTTTTTTGAATTCCCAATTTAGAAGAATCTCACACATGACTACAAAAGCTAGCTCACACTATGTTCTTCTTGAATCCTTGGAAAGTGAAGATCATGTTCAGTACAGTAGTGGAGACAGGGAGCACTCAAGACGTACTAATATGATCGAATATGAGGAGTTTTAGACCTCACAGTAAGAATTTTTTCAAGCTCCAGCATCCTCAATACGGAGTACAACATTTCTGGCTCTATTACTGGTTGAATATTATCTGGGATGACGCTGGTGACCTGGAGGGGAAATGATTTGCATTTTTTAAATTTAAGGAACGATTTGCATTGTAATATGTTGAAGATGTTACTCATATAAATAAATAAATATCTAAATAAATAAGTAACTATGTCGCAGTTGGTCCATCAACTGTTATAACTTGAGGTGCATCTGTGCACATGATCTAGAGTCTTACACCTCTAACCTATGGGCCTTTTGGTTGGTGATGGTACCCAGAGCTTATGGTGGACTTTCTGTAGCTGTCAATACATTCATGATGTGGGACTTCAATGTTGTTGTGGACTCGTGGGTTGGAATATTAAGGGGCCTATTGACGTTTTTTATTAACCTTCGATTAAGGGGTCTTAAGTGCTAAATAGTGATGACTAACGAAAAATCAAAGGCATCAGTTTTATGAACACATTATCTGTTTAGATATTAAGCTCATCCAGTCCAAGAATTTCCGTATTCTGAAAGTGTAATAATTGTGTCATATTCTTGGTTGTAGGTATGGATGCATGCTGATCAAAGCCATAGTGGCTTCCTTAGTCGCGGGGAGTTTTATAATGCTCTGAAACTAGTGACAGTGGCACAGAGCAAGCGAGAGTTAACGCCAGACATTGTCAAGGCAGCCTTGTTTGGTCCTGCTTCAGCCAAAATCCCAGCGCCACAAATAAATGTTGCAGCCATACCTGCACCCCAGTCAAATTTTATTGGTTCTGCACGGCCTGCACCTGCACCTGCACGGCCTGCACCTGCACCTGCAACACAGTTACATTCAGTTGGCGCTGCAACTACATCACAGTCACATTCATTTGGCGCTGCACCTGCACAACATATGAGAATGGTTGCACCTCAGATGGGTGCTCTTGCTCCAACTGCTTCTCAAAATCTCGGGTTCAGAGGGCAGACACCACAGAGCCAGCAGTACCTCCCATCTCAAGGTAGCCATCTGATGAGGCCTCCTCTTCCCGTGACTTCTGGTGTTACATTTCAACCTCAGCATGGTGCTGCTGCTGCGAATTTCCCTAAGGGCGGTGGAGCAGCTACTTCCAGCCCTTTGACCCTGCATGATGCTTTTGCCGGGGTCACCAGTGGACCAACTACACATACACCTGATAGAGGAATTACTCAATCAAGTACTCTAGTTGCATCAAGATCTCTGGACTCACTGTCAACTTCTGCCTCGACAGCAGCCAAGGATCCTAATGGTTTAGTGACCCATCGGGACAAGAATGCTTCTGACTCAATGTTAGGAGGAGAATCCTTTTCTGTATCTAAAAATTTGCATAGACAGGGTTCTGATCCTACCTTTTCAGCAACTAGTGCACTTGTGTCCACTACTGTGGGTCATGTTACTCAAGCGCCATTGTCTTCTGGTAAGGCTGACCCTTTTGAGGCATTGCAAAGTACTTTTGCCAGGCCATCTACTGGTAGTCAGCCACAGTCGACACAAACAACACCAAAAAATAGTCAACAACATTCTGTTCAATCAATATTGCCACCTTCATCATCTGTAACTCCAGCAGGTGCTTCGAGTTCTACACCAGAGCAGCCACATGCTTCTTGGCCAAAAATGACTCGGCCTGGTGTTCAGAAGTATGCAAAAGTGTTCATGGAAGTGGACACCGATAGGGATGGAAGAATCACTGGGGAACAGGCACGAAATTTGTTTTTGAGCTGGAGGTTGCCAAGAGGTATTAATTTTGCATTCTTGTTACTGTATGTACAGATGCCCATGCTAATGCTTAACATGTCCATTACCTTCTCCCACATCTTGTGCAGAACACTTCTTCCCAATTTGTCTTGGAATGAATACAATAGTTTAAGCCAATGGACAAAAGATCATTTGGTCTAAGTTTTCGTCTAACCATGTGTAGCATTCATCTATCAAACCATGCTTAGTTGTATAGCTCTATCTTTTGCAGAGGTCTTAAAGCAGGTATGGGATTTGGCTGATCAAGATAATGATAGCATGTTATCTTTGAGGGAGTTCTGCATTGCTCTCTATTTGATGGAGCGATACAGAGAAGGTCGGTCCATTCCCTCAACACTTCCTAATAGTGTATTACTTGATGAGACTCTGATATCCTTAGCCGGTCCTCCAAGTGTTTCTTATGGAACTGCTGGCTGGGGGCAAACACCTGGTATGACTTAACTATTTAAGTTTTTTCAAAATGTTTTTTTCTTTAACATGGTTGGTCATTTGTGATTTACATTACCTCTACGACTGTACGGAACTACGGATAATTGTAGGCATGAGACCTCATCAAGCGTTGCCTGGTCCACAGCCAAACTTACACACTGGTCTAAGGCCCCAGATGCAGAACGTGACTTCCCAGCCTCACGGACCACTGGATATCGATAAGCAAAATGGTAAACCTTTATCCACACAGAATTCTATTCCACATCAGTTAAGCAATGGGGAGGAGCAGAACACATTAGAGTCGAAAGGGGAAGCGGAAGGAGATAATAAGGTATACTTCTCTTGGGGAATTAATTGGAAATGATCTGCATTACTATCAATGTGAAATGTGCAAAACCATATTCTTTATTCATATTTTATATTTGGCAAGTTTACATTATATTGAACAAAAAACATACGTTGGTTACAAAAGAATCATACGTTGGTTACAAAAAAATCACAGTTTACATTTATAGTTGTTTGGTTACTTGGGTTAATGGAAGGTCGAAGATAAGGAGAAGGTGATATTGGATTCCAGGGAGAAATTGGAATACTATAGGACAAAAATGCAGGACCTTGTGAGTATTCTCCGCCTGCTGCTGTTTAGTTTTTTCCTTTTGTCTTTTTGGTATCCCCCCATGTTTTCCTCCTTCCATCAGTACTTCTTTCCCATGTTAGGTTCTTTACAAGAGTAGATGTGATAACCGCCTCAATGAGATAATGGAAAGGGCTTTAGCTGATAAACGAGAGGTATATTTTGCTAGCATGTAGTATTATGCCTGTGAATGTGTATGTTTCCAGCAATCCAGCCTTTTCCCTGCCCATGTTTTCGTGTCCATATTATCCATAATCCTTTTCCTGGTTTAGGCCGAGTTGCTCCAAAAGAAATATGAAGAGAAGTACAAGCAAGTTGCTGAAGTCGCTTCTAAATTAACTATTGAAGAAGCTTCTTTTCGTGACATCCAGGTGATGGAGTAACATTACTCATCTGTCATTCCTTTTTTCTGCAGGAATTGTTGAGTCCAAGTATCATTTGTATAACCATCTTTAATTTTTTCCCCTAGTGTTAACTAAATTATTTGGCACAATAAATTTCATGCCACTTAGACCAATTAGTTGGGATTAAGTTGATGATGAATGAGCTTTTTCCGCAAGTTCTTAGCTCATTTCTGTACGTATTAAAAAATAGTACTATCTCCGTCCCACTAAGTTTGGGATGTGGGGTTTGGTACAAATATTAAGAAAAAATGAGATTGTGTGGATAGTGTGGTTGATATTGAATTCGTAAAAGTAAAACCAATTTTGAGCCACAAGATATTGTCAAATTTGGTATCAGGAACCACTTTGGGACGACCCAAAAAGGGAAGAAAGGAGTATATCATTTAGCTTTTGTGTTCAAGTTACTTCAACCATGCCTTCTTTTCCACTAAGCATTGCAAGTAAAATGTGTCTGTAGACTGTGGTTACTCTAGAATGTAATTAGTGTAGGATGCTTAAGCACTTATTGACCTATCAAAAACTGGATTGAGTGGTTTCATTAGAGATGTGTCAATGATAACTTTGAATTTTCTAGGAAAGGAAGCTTGAATTACAACAAGCGATCATGAAAATGGAACAAGGTGGCAGTGCAGATGGTATTCTTCAGGTGAACATTGCCACTTGCAATGAGAAGGAAACACTTATCTTATAGTTTGGATGTTTAATCGTCATCTGCTTGTCTAGGTTCGCGCGGACCGCATTCAATCTGATCTCGAGGAGCTTTTGAAGGCTTTGATGGAATGTTGTAAGAAACATGGTGTGGACATGAAGTCCGTTGCATTAATTGAACTTCCCCGTGGTAATAAGTAATAACACAATGTTCTTATTTTCACTTCCCATATTTCTTTCTTATTTGCATTATTTTTTGGGTCTGGGGTAAATAATTTCTGTAGTTTTAGTAGCATAGGAATGACCTCCGGTGGATAGGCTTTCAGAATAATACGAATTTTGTTGCCTATAGTTGCAAGATTGGGTACTTCTATTTTTAGGTTTGATACAATGATACTTTAATCAAGCCATCTGTTGGGAATATTCATTGTTATGTCTGGCACAATGCTTGATGCAATAGTCAGCAGATGTTTTCAGTTAAAAAACTTGCTGTCTATTTTTGGGGGGACTACGCTTTGTCCTGATATTTTTATATGTTTCTGCTATATTCTTTCTCTTGGTTCTGCTACTAATCGTCTCCAAATAATATTTATTAAGGTTGGCAGCCAGGTATTCCAGAAATATCAGCTGTTTGGGATGAAGAATGGGACAAATTTGAAGACGAAGGTGACAAAGTTTTTTATGCTCATTTTCCCAGTGACAATTGCTCTTAGGTGTAGTTCGGTAAGACGTAATGAAATGAAATGTAATGCAGTGCAATGCAATGTGATCAATTGTACTTGTTATGTAAATTTATACTAAAAGTGTGCTGCCTATGCCCCTCTTAGTTTGAGACAAGGTAAAATGGCACACAAATTTAGGAATTTGAAATTGTGAGGTCGTATGAATTTGTAAAAGTATGGATTGTTTTGAACCACATAAGTTTTGCCAAGTATGGTATGAGACAAACTTATTGGGTTGTACCAAAATGGAAAATGAGGCAAACATAGTGGGACAAAGGGAGTTTTTTTATTGCATTGCATTACGGCTTATCAAACTAATACCTTGGTCTTATTTTGAGAGCAATCAGTTAAAGTTCATAAAAACATATTTGTATGTCATAGTTGTAGCTGCTTTTGTCTTCAGGAGTTATGTTTGATGTTGCTTTGCCTGCAAGTGCCAAATCAGCATCACATCAGACAGAGAGTTCTCCATCTCCAAGTTACTCCCCGAACTCCATAAATGCTGAGGCCAAGTCAGAAAGTCATTTCAGTCAGGGATTTAGCACCTTTGAAACAGAATCAGCATATGCACACAGCGAGGATGAGTCTAAAAGCCCCCAGGGCAGTCCTGCCGGTGAAAGAGCATTTCAAAGCCCCTCCAAGGAACTCTCTGATGATCATATTGGGAGTTTCGAGACAGATGCTGAAACAAATCGGTACTGAAACATTTATGTATTATTTACTGTCGTTTTTCTAACTCTTATTTTGATGCATTATTATCTAATATTCTAATTAGTGACATTGTCATTTGTCTCTGTATTTCATTGTAAAAAAGAAGCTTTGAAGACTCTGCTTTGGGTAACTTCGACAATAATGATGATTTGGATTCCGTATGGGGCTTCAGTGCTAAGGTGGGTGTACTCATGAATCTCTGATTTTATGCTGCCTATAGATGTGTTTGTGTGGATGCATGTGTACTTGAGCTTGACAGTTTGGAGAATCACTATAATTTTTCTAAAAGTGCCCATTTTGTATTGTATGCATTTGATGTAATTCCTGCTAAGGAATGAGAAAAAGTGACAGTAAAAACGCCATTATGAAATGCTGCTAGACTGCCACTAGTGAATTGCTTGCATAGTTGCATTGCTATTTGGGTGTGTGCCAGCTTATTTGAGAATTGAGGATGTAAAAAACTCCTATTTATTAATTGGTAGATGGGCAATCTAATTGGGATTGCTTTTTATACAGATCTTAACTACTCTTGTCTATAACATTGTTCCTACAGGAAGACTCTGATCATGATAAGCATGGGGAGAGCTATTTCTTTGGATCCGGTGGTTTTGGCGAAAGTCCAGTGAGATCCCCAGCTGCTGCAGGGAGTTCTGCATATGGGAAAAATAGCCCATTTGCCTTCGATGACTCTGTCCCTGGGTCTCCACTTTCAAGAGCTGGGAATTCACCGCGGTATAGTACTGGATCAGGGGACCCTTTCGAGAGTTTCTCTAGGTTCGATTCCTTCCGCACTAATGATCACAGCTCTTCTCCCCGAGGAGAAACTCTCACGAGGTTTGACTCCATGAACAGCATAAGTGTTGGTGACGAACATAGTAGAGGGTTCTCTTATGATGATTCTGACCCGTTTGGGTCTAGTGGTCCATTTAAGGTCTCAGCTACGAGTCAAACCCCTAAGAAAAGTTCCGATAATTGGAGTGCTTTCTAGTTTATGATTTTTGTGCCTAGACTATTTTTTCCCGCACAGCCTTGACATATGTGTTGCTGACAATGAATCGCGTGGCATTTTTTGTTGTTGTATACAAGAGTGTGATAACAGTGGAGAGTGTAAATTCGTGCCATGCAATTTCATTGCTTTCCACTTTTTAGGAACAATTTTTTATCCCCCCCCCACTCCCCTCCATTGTTGGGGTAAAAAACTAGTCAAAAAATACTTATACAGAACATAAATTTGGTGACCTACGGCCCTGCCTTGGCTTTTACACGACGTGTTTCTCAAAGGCTTCTTGTTCTTGTGTATTCATAAAGTTTTATGTTCATAAATTTGTTGTTTTTACTGAAAACATGAAATCATCTTTAAAAAAATGTGTACGGTAACCACAGTGTAAGTTAGTTGCTTACTGAGAACCCAACATGGTTTGATCAATCAATGATGGTACTTTGTATAGATGATGGTGGAAACTTAGCAAATTGTTTGAATGACATAGATTTACATCTCTAAAAGGTCTGGGATGTATTCTTAGGGGCAGAATAGAATTAGTCTCGAAGTCAGGATTACATTATGTTAACAAGAAAGACCCAAACAACAATTACAATCCCCAATCAAACAAAAAAACCAATGTGTATGTCAGTATGTGTAGCGTCCCAAAAAAGAACTACAAATAAAAATATATTCCTTTGTCGAGTTGAATTTTGCCAAGTTTAATCATTATGCTCCGGTATATAATAATAAACTAAATAAATATATGATCGAAGTTTACACACAGTCACACACATAAGAAAGAAACACTAAAAGCCACAATCACACAATGTATTTTCTTGAAAGTGAAAATAGAAACATTTATTGAACAATAAAAAATTAAAAACTTGAAAGTGGATAAACTCAGTTGGACATTTTTTAAATTATTTATGAAATTAAAGTTAATTAGTTAACATGAGACCCAAAAAATCTAACTCGTTGATTTCTTATGTGTGTGTAAACTTGATTTTATCAATGTTTGATTATTCCTCAAAAATGTTGGCCGCAATAATTTATCATGATAAATTACCATGAGCTTGCTCTTCGTTTACAGAAACAAACTCACGGACTCACCCAAAATGAGACGACCTATGTACACTCTCCAACTTTATCATTTAGAATATGAATGGAATTAAAGTTGATAGAAGTTGCAATTTAAATAATAAAGCATACATTTTAAAGATTTTTTTTTGAACGAATACATTTTAAAGATTATACACTAATAAATCAATATGAATCACAAATAAAATCATAGTAGAATCATGAAAAACCATTTAGAATCGCATAAAAATGTAAAACTATCATACAATTGTAGTGATGATTTCTAATGAATAGGTCGAAATTATTAATATTAACTGTGAAATCTAGACATATAGTTCCAATAGCAATGAGAAGAATAATACTACGTATAATAATCAAATTGATTTGCAAATGTTTTTTCAATGATTTTGCGTTTGACATATCACATATGCTTAATAATTATTAATGTGTTCATTTGCACTACATATCACATTACATAAATGTGTTCATTTATGTAATAGAGCGACTTATCATTATTGACTTGTAGATTTGTTTTAATATTTAACTTTTCAACAATTGTGGTATGTATTTTATAAAATCTAGCCTGTGTTTTATGATTCGATTTAGCGTTCGATTTTCAAGAAGCCTTATAAATTCGATTCAAAACTATTACTTTCTTTTTAATTATAAAATGAGAGAATTCCCCAAATAGGAGTAAAAGATAGGCAAAATGCAAAAATAGGAGTACCATGTTTTGAATAGGAGTAACTTTAGTGTTTAGACAAGTATATCCCTACCCAAGTCCCAACAACTTTCATTAATAATTAAAACATAAAAGGAATAACATTAATTTATAATAAAATTCTAAAAAAAATGAAAAAACACAAAAATATATCAAATAAAACATACTCCGTATTAAATAAAATTAATAAAAATAAAAGTTATTAAAATAAAAAATATTAAATAAAAACAAAAAAATTAAAATTAAAAAAAAAACTAAAAAAAATATGTAGGCGTCTGCCGCCGCCTCAACAACCTCCCAGCACCACCAGCTTCGACCCCCGAAAAAAATGCCAACATTTTTCCGAAATACCATCATGATGGCAAATTTTGAGAAAATTTGGCAATTTTCAAAGAGCAAAACTGTCATCTTTATGGCATTTTCAAAGAAAAATGGAAGTTTTAACATAAGATGGCATTTTTTCCGCCGATCGGAGGTGACATTGCTGGGTGATGGCCGAGGTTGCGGCAAAGGCCTGCATAATTTTTTATATTTTTTAATGTGGTTTATCTATTTTTTATTTATTTTCAAATTTTTTTATTTTTTTGATTTTTTTTTTGATTTTTATTATTTCAATATATATTTTCAAATATTTTAGATTTTTTTTTATATATTATTAGGATCAAATAAGTCATATTTTAGAATTAATTAGGTTAGGGGTATTAAGGGTACAAAATTAATGTTTACTCCTATTGAAGAAAGTTTTAAGTTTCACTCCTATTTGTGCAATTATGTTTATGTTTACTCCTATATTGGACAATTTCTTTAACAATGTAATGAGTTTTGCCACTTTTAATCCCCCGACTATTGTATCAGTGATATTTTTTGACCCAACTTTTAAATTTTTCATTTTTAGTCATTGACTATTGCGCGAGAGACACTTTTAGTTATCACCTTCAAAGTTTCCCACATTTAGTCATCTGAGTATTATCAAATTGCACTTTTAATTTTTCCACTATGAATTTGACACAATAAGCAGAGGACTAAAAGTGTCACTGTTATAAGAATTGAAGGACCAAAAGTGTTTACTTTATGAAAGTCGAATGATTAAATATGAAAATTTTCAAATACGGGTACCAAAAGTGTCTTTCGCACAATAGTGGATGGATTAGAAGTGGAAAAATCAAATACGAGTACAAAAAAATGTCATGTATAAAATTATGTAATTTATGTAATATTTGGAGAATTAAAATGACAAAAACTTGACTGTAATTTACTAGTCAAAACTAATAGTCGTCTACTAAAACAATTTTCCATTTATTAGCATTATTAGCCAACTTTCTAACTAAACGTATAGATTTTATCTTTTTAGCACTAAATAGTGTATTAATCAAATGACTAAGATTAAAGTGATCTTTTAACTGAATTGATTGGAATTACACATGCAATTCAACTTACCTATTTTTTCATATAATTGTTTCTTGTTAAAATATTGTTTTTCTTTGATTCAACATGTTCACTCAAGTAAACGTTTCTGAGGAAGTTTTCTCAATTTGAACATATCAATCAATTCACCTAATTTTAGTTCTTCCAATAAAGGTTGAATCTCCAACCCCAAGGGCTCACCACGCCCTGCCCGACAAGGCATATGGTCTATGTAGCACCAATACTCGACTAAGGTACCGTCATCGTATCGAAAATATCCTCATATCATATATTTCATGATGCATGTATTGTACCAGGATGTATATGCAATTTATTTAAAAAATCAACTTTTTTGGTAATTATTTAAAATTTTGGACACACATATTTTGACGGATATACAAATCAAGATAATGTTTTATTAAGAAAATACAAAACAATTAAATAATAAAAGTCTTAAATTATGCTTCGTATATTTTTTAGTGTTTATTAGAATATCATTTTCTATCATTGTTATTTGTTAAGAATCTTTTATCAATGAGTTTAAATACTTACACTTTTAATTTTAAAATTGTGACTTATGACTATATTTGTATTTCTAGTTGTATACGAGATGAAGTATAATTTTCATTCGTAACTATTTTGATAACGTGAAATGCTTCAATGTCACGAATGAGTAGGAGATTACATATGTATTCAGAAAAGTTCTTGTGATTTTTAATATTTATAAAAACATGCCATTATTTTTAATCTTTATGAATACACCCCATATTTTTTAGTAATTATAAAAACACTGCTGTATCTGCATCCTATTTTTTGTTTTTGTTTTAATTTGGCGTATCTTATTACTCATTTCCTCATTCTCGTATTTAAGCTACATAACATATGAGTGACTGTATATCACGGTGACTAGGTTAGTACAATGATGGTAGGAAAAAATGATTGATGTACACTTTTCGTACATTCGTCTATCTCACGCACACAGAGTTGTCTGCCCCACAAACAAATTTGTATAGTTGTCTGTGGAGTGTGAACAGACAACTACTCTGTGTGCATGAGACAGACAAATGTATGAAATGTGTGCGCGAAAATTTGTACTTCTAAGTTCTAATTCTAATAATAGATCTTGTACTCGTACGCACCCGAAGTCCAAAACAACATAAAGATGTTGAACCCAGCACGCCACTCCATCGAACTACGCGTGCGGGTTATGCACCCAATTCTGAAAGTATTTATTGATTTTGGGGTTTACGAGAAGAGTGGTTACCGAGGAAAACTTTGACGTGCCGACCTCGAGTCAGCGCAGATTTATACTCCGTTTTTTTTTTACCTGGCAGCGTACCGCGTAAGAATTCCCCGCCATTTTAAAAATTCCCATTTCAATATGTTCCCGCTAAAACTACTCCCCCCAACTCTGGTAAAAATACCTACTCACTCCCCTGCGGCCCGCACCGTTCTTCCTCGAGAACCAGAACAGAGTACTCCGCCGCATCCAATAATCCCCGATTATGATGAAAACGAAGATCCGAAAAGCAGACCAGGATATGAAGCCGGTGGCAAATCCTATCCTCACACCCGCCAAAACCGTCATTCACATCGGCGGTATTCCGGTGGAGTTTCCCTTCCAGCCGTATGGCACGCAGCTGGCATTTATGAATAGGGTTATTTCGACCTTGGATCGCGCGCATAAGGATGGCCGATCACACGCGCTGCTCGAGTCTCCTACCGGTACGGGAAAGTCGCTTTCCCTTCTCTGCTCTGCACTAGCTTGGCAGCAGAACTTCAAGTCGAAGAACCGTTTTTCCAATCCCAGCTACTCGAAACCCGATCCGGAGGCACTATCTGATCCCATTGGTCATGGTGGTGGATTTATTCCGGAAACACAACCCTCAGGTAGTGACATTATGTATTGTGAACAATATGTAGTTCGTACGAATAAATGCTTCGGCATTTTCAATTGCAAGTTTTTTAAGTCTCTGAGTTTCGAGCTGGCATTTGTGTGCAGGAAACCCAGAACCAGCACCATTAGTCGAGGCAGTTGGAAATAATCGGAAGACAGCTGCAGTTGGGAAGAACGGGAAGAAGAAGTTGGCGCCCACTATTTTTTATGCCACGTAAGGCTTCATTCTTTTGAATGTTTATTTCCCATTCTGCTGTTTGGC